TTCGGGCGCTCATCACTATTTCTCATATCTCTCTCTTCCATGAAAGGTCGGTCTGCAGCACATATGCATGCCGTACTGTGCAGGCCGGCCATGTCTCTCTCTCTCTCTCTCTCTCTCTCTCTCTCTCTCTCTCTCTCTCTCTCTCTCCCCAAAGGAAGTTATATAAGTAGTTAGTAAGTAGTAAGTAGTATAAGTAGTTAAAGTCCATGATAAAATGAGCATGATAAACTTGCCTTATGGGAGCCGTGCATCTTGCATAACTGAAGCAGCGCCAGTTATAATAACATATCATATAATAAATGATAGTAAAGCTGCCACTGATCGAACAACCTTCTCTTCCACCTGCTCCATGGGACCCTCCTGCGGGGACGGCAGGAGGGTTTGGTAAGGACATTACCAAACCCGCCTCCTCCTCCACTCGTACACGAAATGCCATGGAGAAAGACATCACTTATTCGTTGGAACTTGCAAGCATGCTGCCCAGGGAAAAACCACAATCCTAGCGTAGCCTGCATCTTCAACCCCATCTCTCTCTCTCTCTCTCTCTCTCTCTCTCTCTCTCTCTCTCTCTCTCTGTGTGTGTGTGTGTGTGTGTGTGTGTGTTCGTGCATACCTACGTGTGTGCATGTGTGTGTGTGTGTGGTGCAGCGGGCTGGCCGCTCTCCCACTTTCCCGTTAGCCTTTCCCACAACAGCGCGCTCACTGCTGTCCCACTTTCCCATACACGGTGCGTCCTGCGCGAACGGCTGCCTTTCGAGGCTGGAGTCAACAACTGTCGGCCAACACCGAGCCAAGCTCATGTTTTGCGAGTACCCCCACATTAGGAACGTTAGGAAAGCACCAACACTTGCCGCTCAACGAAGAAACCAACGGCCTACTGTTTTGTTGGTTTGTCTGGCCGTTCATCGAAAGGCCCACACAGAGGCCAACGCCAAAATTCTACGATGGGGGAAAACCTAGGGTACAGAAGAGCGCAGAAGCAAAATAATTCAAGGTACGTTAGGAAAGCACCAACACTTGCCGCTCAGCGAAGAAACCGACGGCCTACTGTTTTGTTGGTTCGTCTGGCCGTTCATCGAAAGGCCCACACAGAGCCCGACGCCAAAGATCTACGATGGGGGAAAACCTAGGGCACAGAAGAGCGCAGAAGTTAAATAATTCAAGGTACTCATCAGAACTGCAGATATAGGCGAATGGACGTAGGAAAATTGTGGACAAAGTGAGCCCGTCGGCGCGCAGCGTCCCAAAAAACGGTACCCGCAGCCGACGAGCTTTAGAGGGTTGGGAGGGAAAAAAAAAATCAGAAATAAAAAGAAGCAGAGAAAATAAGCACACACATGGAAGCTGGCAAGCGAAGGACCAGGTGCAGGTCACAGCACTCACCTTTCC